ACCTTTACTTTCTACCTACCATACAGATAATATCAAGAATTACTATCTTTTGGAGCAGCATATGGCATAATGGTTACATCACTGGACTCCCACGTAGTCGACCAGTTTGAGTCCCAGACACAGTGGCTTAAAACTCAAGACTCAAGCTAGATGCGTGTGTGTACATGCCCAAGATCCCAAGAGGAGAATGGAGGAGAAGGGATTGTGGTGTGGCCATCCTCCCGGGGGGGTGGGGTGATATCTTGCTGTCTTTCTCTGGCAAGCGCATGCACCCTATAGCAAACATCTCTCTCTTTTTTTTAAAGAATTATTTTATTTAACTTTATTTATTATTATTATTATCATCATTATTATTTTCCAGTTTGATCAGAGAGAGACACAGAGAGAGAGGAAGTGAGAAAGCAAGCCACCAGGTCCGAGGTTGAACGGTGGTTGGCCATGTGGGAATCCATGCTGTGAGGTAGGCCCTAGCCTTATCCTCACGTTACGAGGGAGGGAACTAAGACACAAAGAAATTTGGCATTTGCTTAAGGTAACAAGGCTAGTCAGTAGCAGAGCTGGCTCTGAGCCATGGTTCTTGGCCTTGGGATTCCTTGTGTGGAATGCTATTGAAGGGCAGTGCTGTAAAACCTCTGGCCACACTAAACTGATAACTGGAAACTGTGCAGGTGGTCCGAAGTGGGGATTTAAGACAGGAACCTGAGGCCAGACAGGCTTGCTCCTAAAGAGCCAAATGACCTGGTTTTGCTTATGATATACAAAGGAAATGGAAAATGGCTTGATAACTGATTCTGCTGTCAATGACAGAAATGAGACAATAAACTGGTTTGGAAAATCACAGATCATGACTGAGAAGAGGAAAAAGCCCTGGTGACATCATTGCAGGGGGTAGTGAATTATTCAAATTTCTTCTTCTTTTTTGCTATAGGACATGTGTGCTTGCAAAGGAGAGAGAAAGAGTGAGAAAGTTGAGAAATCACCCCCTAGGAGGGATGGCCACGCTGCAATCCATTCTTCTTTCTTCATAGGATTTCGGGTATATGTATACACACGCCCAGCATGATTTTCAAGCTGCCAGGTCTGGGACTTGAACTGGCCATTTGGGGAGTCCAGCACCTTAACCACCACACCACCTGCTGGCCCCTCATGCAAATTTCTTATGCTCTTTCTTGGAACATGGATAAGTCACACAGTCAAGAAGAGAGTCGGTCCATGCATTCACTGAGAAAAACCATTTTCATGAAGGACTCTTCTGAAGCTTTTAAGTCCCTAGTTGGAAACAGAATCAGTACTGTCTTTACTTAATGTTTGCAAGATTGGGTTCTCCAGAAGAAAAGTTCTGTAAGTTCAACACACTATTAAATATTAGGAAACAAGAAGTGAAGAATGACAAGATCAACACACCCGAATTCCATACTAGAGTTTTAGGAGTAATTAGTAAAGAATTCTAGTCATTCAGGGGCAACTGCTGTTCTGTGACGTCTTGCACAGCTGATCCCAGCCTCCTGGGATGATTTTTGAGCCATAATATTGAAGTGGAGCCTCTTCCTTATGTCTGTAAATCCATATGGTTCTAACCAGGGTTTTTCTCTCTCCCTAACTTCTGACACATTCAGGCAGGAAAGTGAGCATGTGTATTTACATAAGCTATAAGGCTGTGCAAACAGACTAAAGGAGACTTTATAAATAGCTCCTATTTCTTACCGTTTCTTAAAAAGTTTATTTCTTTCATGAGAGAGAAAGAGATACATATACACACAAGCACCCTCAACAGTCCCCCAATCCCCACCCAGCCAGGATCATGGCGTGTAAAGTGGATTGGTTTACTGGGGACCCAAACCTGTGATCTTCCATAGGGATTCATTCGGCTTCGCTTGAGCTACACGTTACAGCTGTGCCACTGAGCCGGTCCATTTCTTATAATTTATAATGGACATTACAAATCTAAAATCTCTCCTGTATTCTTTGATCAAAAGTTTTTATCCTTGTTTTCCTTAGGCACTTTCTACCAGTGTTTTCTCTGTACAATATTGGACTTTTTCAATCAATTTCTGTATCTTTTATCACTTAGTATATAGGTTGTTTTTTTCTTTTTTAAGTGAATGTAAGTTTTCCCTTGTGTCCATAAACTGTAAATTAGCTACTAATTTCTATTATTTCCAGTAAGGGTTTAAAATGGATTCTCTTTGGAAATACGCTTTGTGAATATGTTTTTTCTCTCACTTCTATGGGCTCCACCTTGGATATGGTAAGTTTCACTACTTTTTTAGGCTACACTAGCTGTTCTACTTGCAGTTTTCCAGAGTTCAGTGAAAAACGAACTTATTATTATAAGTCAACAAAGAATATATCCTGGCCTCTCATTAAACCCTTTGAAAATGAAATGTTTGTTTGAAAACAAACAAATATGCCAGAAAATGCTAAAACTTAAAAGCCAGTACTTCTTTTCTAGTATGCTGCTTCTCGATAATCATTCATAGCTAATTTTGACTTCTTAAAAAAGGCTTGGGACCATCAGAAAGGTAAAGGAAACTGACTGAGTTATTATCAATAGTCTACTCCTAATAGTTGATTTGACTACATTTCAATCTAACTGAAGGTCACTGATCATTTCTCTATTTTCTTTGTTCTCAGTTTTCAAATACTGGATGATTGGTGTTGACCTTTGTCATGTTTCCTAGGACAGGGCCAAGACCAGCTCGCAGGTGTTTGTTATTTACTTAGCTAACTTCACCATTAAGGCTGCCAAAGAGGATCTGGGAAGAAACCAATGTAGGATTGCAGATCCGTGAAAAGGACACAGAAATGACCTCATGTGTTTTCATAGCACCTGTGTAAGTAGATAAAACAATTATAGATAAGGAAGCTGAAGAAATAAGAAAACAAATACATTTAACATCTATTAAGCATCTATAGTAGGAGAGGCACACGACAAGGAATTTCTGAACATACGCATAAATAAGCTAAAGTCAGTACCCTTTAAGTGTTCACAATCTAGTGCACGTGACAGACTGTAAAAACGCAGTAATAAAGACGGCACACAGTGGAGGAACAGGAGGGTGTGACTTCTCCTGACTGGCAGGTTTTGAAAGACTTTTGTGGAAATGGAATCTGAACGGAGCCTTCATGGGTGGTGGGTATTCCACAGACAAACATGGTGGCATGCAGAGGGGCTGACATGCAGAGGTACAGAAAGCATTTACAATGAGAATTTACTTAGATATTGCATAGGACTTGAGGGTGGGGCAGGATAGAAGGGACAGAGGAGGTGTCCAGAAGGTTTGCAGATGTCCTTGAGTGCCAACTCCGCAGCAATGCAGAGGAGACTAGGATGGAAGGAAATCATGTAGGAGGTCATTGCAATGGTTTAGGAAAGAGGTCATGAGCTTGAACTGAGCAGAAGTGGGGGCAAAAAGAAAGGTCATAATAGGGAAGACAGCAGAGGTAGAGTCTATATAATTAGGCAACAGAATGGGCATCCATGGAGAGTGGTGGCAGGGCCAATGAGGGAAGAGTCAGAGATAATTATGATGTATCAATTAAAATCAGAGAACATAATATATTTGAGGTATTCCTGGGTTAGACAAGACAATTTCTATTAGGGAGGTGGAAATGTGGATCTCATGATTAGGACTGATAATGATTTAGAAATGAACTACAGAGATACGAACCCATATGTGCAGAAGGAAAAGGACAAAAAGAAAACCTTAAAGGAACACCCCCTTTTTGAGAAAATGTAGAGGGGGTAGTTAAAAAAAAAAAAAGGAATCACTGCTGTGGTCTGAATAAGCGAGGTTAGAGAGGTGAAAAACAAGAGAGGTACGGTGATAAAAATCAAGGCAGAGAAGTTTCCAGAGAGCTGGAACTGCTGAGGGGAAGAGTAAGGCACTTACAGCGGTCATAGAAGTCACATCCAAGCTCCTAAAGTCCGTACCCACCTACTCGTTTTTCCACAAGAAAAACGATGGGACCCACTCTGCCTTTTACCAACGGGTCCTGGGACTCAGTCATCAACACTCATGACAGGTTCCAATCGCCTCCCCTGAACTTTCGGGGCGGCTCACTCCGCGCTCCATCCTTGGAGCCTTTCAGGTAAGGGCGGTGCGCCAGGTACTCGGGTCACGCGCCGCCTGCGTCCTGGCGGCATGGCCGGTGGGTAAATACGGTGGCGTCCGAACCGCTGTCACTGGGCTTGTCAGCTACATTCTCCACGCCCAGTTTCCTCGTTTGCAACAGAGGACGGTGATACTCACCAGGCCAAGTTCGGCGTGCACGAGATCACGCCGGTAAACCCCGCACACAGGCGGCCGTTCGGCTGTCACTGCCTTTCGCACTTTTCCTAAGGGCAGAGGACAGCTAAGCCTGCTCCCCAAGGCGTGAGCACCCACCCGGGGACAGGGCGCCTCGCCCTGCCAGCCCTCGGGGGAATCTTCGCTGGAAGAGGGATAAACAGCCTCAGGGCGCCCCAGGACGAGGGCGGGCTGGCGAGCGCC